ATATATATATGTGTGTGTGTGTGTGTTGTGTGTGTGCGCGTATATATATATATATATGTATATCTATATATCTATATATCTATATATATATATATTAATTTATACTAAAGTATGTACACATGGGCATCACAGATTCTTCAAGATATTCGAATTTCAACCTTGACGATATCGAATTTGATCATTTATCGGAATCACAACGGGTTGTCTAAAATGTACATCGATATGCATAACGTGCGCACACTGCCATGAATACAATCGAAAATGATATTGTAATATGAATTCGATCCGATTGTACCAATCAGCGTTTCCGAGATATGTGTAGTGCCCATTGTCATGTTCGTCAACCAGCTAATTCTTTATTACTATTAACTAAGTACATGGTGCTTTGGTGATTAGGGTGTGTATACCGCTCTTACCAACAGTGTTTTGTGCGGTGGTAACTGATTCGACCGAAAAATTAAGGGACAATCATTTATTCATGATAAAAGACTGTACACCTTGTCCGCCACGAAAATGGCGAACATGGTATGATACCCCGTGTGTAGTGTTCTCAACGCCCAACCACGCTGCAAAGTAGTTATACCTTCTTTTGCAAATTTGGCTTTCAACACCTGCGTTTCGCAACAAAAAGAATGGAATTATAAGTCCTTGAGATACAAGGGCGGGCAGCAGACAAGTAAAAATATATATAATACTTAAATTCAGCGAAGTAGAAACGATTCTAATCTTCCGCCAACGTCCAGTTTGAGACGCTCACATTACCTCGGATATAGACTGGCCTCCTCCGCCTGCAGACTGAATGATGGGCATCAAACGATCGATGGGCATTGTGACAGTAACTGAAGCAGCGCCACCTGCGAACGACGTGTATAGCTTCTGGGCGTCTGTCAGCGTACCATCCGGACTTTTCTCAATGAGAAAGTTCCTGAAACCATTTATGAATATGAAACGCGTACCCCAATCTAAGGCTCTTTTGAATACGCAAGTCATCATGCCCTGTGTGTAATTGTCAACGGTTGCGACTTTAGTCGAGCAATATTTAAAGCGTATTCTGAAGCCCAAAGCCACAATACAGTTCGACCACCAAGCCACGACCGAGAGAAAAAATTACGCTTAACATAAAGTGGGAAACTATGCCCACTCACTTTGAAATGAGATATAAATTTGAATCAAGATCAACCCGACAGGTATTATGAAACGGCGCGATATGTCGTAGCCGCGGTTATTGACTAGATGTGCAATTCTGCAATTAGACGCGATATTCCATGTAGAATTAAGTTAGCAACTTACCTGTGTTAAAGTTTTCACCAGCCCTTCGGATTCTATCCCACTGGCCAAAATAGATTGTGACAGTTTCATCTCCTGCGCAACTGTCAAACTCTTGCCACCAGATGCAACTCTCTCACTGATTGCCTGATTCACACGAGTGCGCGCTAGGAGAATCGGTGACATGAAGACACCTTGCACCGCGCCTGTGCACATATCAATTTTGGTGTGAGTGATTGCCATAATCAATATATAATGGAAAAGATTAGAGACAGAGGCTACACGTAATCACTCTGTGGGCAAGGTCTAGAGGTCTGGTGCTGCTTTATTATAACTGGATCAAGTTTAGTTCGCGAAATGCAAGCGGTGGTGCAGCAACTCAAACAAAAATTCAAAAATGCGTTGAAGGTTCAGCATTGATTGCAGCACTGGGGAGTAGGCGGCAGAAGCGGAAAAAAACGCGAGACTAAGTCACTAGGACAGCACACAAATAACTCAGCTCGTTGATTGATGTGTTATTACACCCTCTGCAACTGTGCTTTGGCTTAATATAGGTATTTTTGTTGTCGCGAGCGAAGTATACACACACCTGCGCCGAAGCCTGCTATGAGATCGGATTTCTTCTTATCCACTCCCAACGACTTTAACCCGGCGTCTAGGTTTGCTTTAGCTCCACCCAGTACTGTTCCCTTGGATAATCCAAGTACCACACCCCTGTATCAATGAGAACTCGCAAAATAAGTTTCGAAGAGTCTCAGTGTGTGTACAAAAGGAGCACACACATATGCGAATGCGAATGTGACTTATTTACTCTTGTGTCTGACGCTAATATTGAGAGCTTTTGCACGCCAATCAAGTGTTAATTTGTTCCACACATTTATGGACAAAGTGGAATCGGGGGGTTCCCAATATTTACGTCCAACAATGTCATGAGCATCGCCATCTGAAATACACACAGAGTTACAAACGGGTCTTTGCAGATTTACTTAATTCTTAAATCCTTATCTGCCCCACGAACTGCTGACCAGCAGGGTAGAGATGATGTTAAGCTTTCTTTGAGATAATTCATAGAAACGTCACCTGAATAGCAACCCGCTCTCGTCGAGTAGAATTGCTCGACATTGGAGTAAAATATCTTTGAAGTCAAGCCAAGCAGCATGAAAGACGCTCATGTCACACCGGGACACACCCAACAAATACTGACATCAGCTACGAAAGTAGATTTCACATCGATTGGGGGCTTATTGCAGCTACGGCTAACTGATTTGCGAGTCACCTACACAATAAATGCGAGTCACATGTAACCAGTCGAGTAATACTACATACCAGGGCCACAAACCAGCTTCGAACCCTCTGATACCCTGTGACAAGACGTTTCTCGCAATTTGTGGATAAGGCGCAGACGTTCTTTGTTTTTCCATTTTGACATTTTCCATGAAAAGCCCACCAGAAGTCATCTCCAGTAGCACACTTACACCAGTGATAGCTGCCTTTTTGAGTGGCTTTTGTGCAGCTTCTGCTTTCGGCGATTGCACAGCCGGTGGCAAAGCCGCAGAAGGAGGGATAGTAGCAGCGGACATTTTCCTGAAAAATTGTGAGATGACATGTGATCAGAAATACACGAGTAAAAAGAGTAGTGTTTGATTTTTGTTGCAAAGCTGGCAACAAAATTTAAAGGTTGCCTTTCAACTGAGTGAGGCTCGCAAACAGTCTCAGGGACCGGCCGTACTCGCCAACGAAATATATACACTTTTTATTGCGAGAGTTGGACAGAAAGCACAGCACATATGATATATGATACGGACATTCCATTTTAGCATATCTTGTATCTTATGTGAGCGAGAAAAGGTTCAAAAATGAACACAAACTCAAGACTGCACAGATTCAGATTACCGAGCTCTTAAAAGCGCTATCAGAGAAGTAGCGAAGTATATGGAAGCATTCATTGTGCGACTTTTGCTCTTGGCAGTAGTTGACAATCACATCGAAACTTTGCAGAGGTAATAATATAGCACTAGTGAGTTTGTCACGAGTATTGAAAAGTAAGCCACGAATAAACAGCCCCCATATGGATGTCTTTCAGTAAATCTCAATCGTATACAAACATGCCATGGAAAACAAACAATTAACTTTCTGACTAATTATAAATTGTCACATTAAGATTGTGAATGCTATGTAAAATAAACTGTGAATATTATAAGTGTATACAAATATGTTTCTGCAATAACCTTGCAAATAT